TGTTAACAATAAGGGTTAATTAGGTGTCAACGATAGCCATGTGATGTGAGTATCAGTCACCTGGAGGCTGGGCTTAAAAGCCTGAATTTTGCCTGAAACTCTCAGACTGAAGAAGTCTCTTGGAGGAGAGACGAAACGTTTCATTGAAGAAGAACCCGTCCAGAGGACCTATACAATTTTTTTTTCCTACGAACATGATGTGCTAAAAATATCAGTCCACCCAATCAGTGCTAGTCTAAAGCCTGACTCCTGTAGGTGAATTTCTTCCTCTCTTCATACTCATGTCACATTTATAAGTCACTCATTATTCTTTGACAGAACATTAATGGCTAAACCATCCCAGCACCTGACTTTGTTTTTTTAAATTACAGTAAGCTTTTGTTATTTTATCCAGACTTTTTTCTTTGCTTCATTTCCTCAGTTTTATAAATTTTGTGACTCTGACAGCAGTGTTGTTTTTGACTGCCATTTTAATATTAGTCTTAGTCTTTTGAACAAAAATACTTCTTAGTTTTAGTCGGTTTTAGTTATTTCTATATTTAATGGTTTTAGTCGAMGAAAACTTTAAAAACTAGAAGCACTCGGAGAGTGCAAACCTCCGCCAAGACCAATTTCCYCCATCCTGTAGGAGTTAATRCACAAAAGCAGAGATGGAAACACATTTACAGAATAAGTCCTGACGTAACGAACATTTAAGCAGGYAGTATGCACGGGATTTCTTCTCGGTGGAGTCTAATGTGAAAAAAAAAAGTCAGACTCGTCACYCGACRTTATTCATCATCAAACTGGTGTCAGATTAAGCTCCTAAGTTTTCATCAGTCACATTTCACCATGTAAAACATCTGTTTTATCCCCTTGTATGAGTTTGTAATGGTTTGACTCTCTTTTTAAAGTGCTTCCTGGTACAGTCACTCTGAAAGCGAGTGGGTCAGCGCGACCGAAAACATTACCTCTCCCCTGGTCTAATTTAAATAATAAAAATTAACAAACAAACAAACAACCTCYGAGTCTGAACTCCACCGCACCTGTAYGCATCACTCCTCTTCCTCGTTCTTCATCGATCTGTTTACAAGCCCAGGCTACGACAATGTGGTGTGTTTGAGGAAATGGGAAAAATAGGTTTCATGGTGMAGTCAMAYACTTCCTGGTCACAAAACGTTCTCTAAACGCGCACATTATGACAAAAAAATTATTCATCATTAAATGTGGTTTTAACATTACTTTTATAAAGTTTGAAGTCCGTGCTGTCCAATCCAGCTCACTGTTTTTTACAGAAGCCCTGTGAAAGCATCACAGCTTTGCCGATCTCAGAGGATTAATAGAAAAAAAATTCCTGTGTCCGCATCGTGATCCGGAACATCACCAAAATTTAAAGGTGTGTTCCTTGGCCCAGTACCCACATGTAGTAAAACTGTCATGACAATCTGTCCACAAGTTTTTGAGTAATGTTGTCCACAGACAGAACGATAGACATACGCGACCGAAAACATTACCTCCTTGGCGGAGGTAAAAAATGTTTTTTTTATTAGTTTAGTTTATTTCAAACATGTATACAAAATAAAACAAAAAATGATAAAGTGTTGACAAAATTAACATATTTGAAAAGGAATGGGAAGAAGTCAAAAAGTAATCCCACCCTTCTCCGAAGCTTATTAACAAAAAAATAATAGTAAATTAGTTTAATTTTAGTCTTTAAACAAAGACAACATATTAGTCTTTACAAATTAATGTGAGTAATTTGTGTTAACATTTGTGATTTTGTGTTACTCTAAAAATGCCCAAAATAAAAAAAACATTCTTACTTTGTGGCTTTATTTCTCAGAATTAGCTAAAGTGTAATGAACATACACAATACACATGCCCAATATTATAAGCAATAAAGGGGACAGACATGTTCAACTCAAACTTGTCAGCCAGGACCATGAAGATGCATCTGTTTTTATAAAAACGGACATCATGCAGTCCTAAACGTAGTTAGTAGACTATTACCGTATTTTGTGGACCATAAGTCGCACTTTTTTCATAGTTTGACTCATCCTGCGACTTATACACCGGAGCGACTTATTTATGTTTTCTCTCTCTCTCTCTCGGGCGCCTCTTTTTTTGCTGTTGCATTTAATATTAAATGACTGACATGAACAATACTACCTACAGCCATGAGGGGGCGCCACATAATTGTGAATGTCTTTTTGTGCTCGTTTATATAACCGAAGCATTAATGAAAACTGAGAGACTGGACACAAACAAAATGCAGCCCAAAAGAAAATCTTATTCTGCAGATTACAAACTGCTGAGTCTGATGACAGCCCTGCAGAAGAGGAGATTACGGCAGCACTTCCTCTTCCTCCAGAGTTGGCAGAGTTGTTCAGAAGAGACACTGAGGATGAAGACGTTAACAGATTCAGTGATGTGGAGTGAGATCGGTGAACCTGCGGTGAACTGTAATTTGTTTTTTGGACTGGCTGGTTTGTAGCATAATGTTAATTAAACCTATTCTGCATCTCAGGTATGTGTTTGTTCCTGGACGTTATAAAATACATTTCTAAATAAATGCGACTTATGCTCAGCTGCGACTTATCTGTGGTTTTTTTCTCTTCATGACACATATTTTTACTTTTGCGACTTATACTCCGAGGCGACTTATAGTCCAGAAAATACGGTAAACTTGTGCAAATGAGTGTTTACATGCACCAGGCTTTTACTCAGAACAGAAGCACTGACATGCACAGTTGTTAACTCCCCCCGCCAAAAAATAAAATAAAAAAAACACACGAAGAAGAGTTTTACTTTCGTCATGATCGTAAACAAACAGCTTCTGAGCTCAGAATGGACCTGAGACAGCTTTTAATAATGGTGGACATGTTGCTCCCTGGTTAAGCTACAGGTGACAAACTTTTTTTTTTTTTTTGCGAAGCGGCGCAGGCTGTGAGAACGGGAGGAAATGTTTTGTGCTGTTGTGTGTGCGCGTGTGTGTAACAGCGCTGCTGTCCCTCGCTCCACTCTGCATTCTAAATGATTGACAGACCACCGACTAACATTTTCATACTGTCTCGTCAACGAAAACTCACACACGTTTCRTCACGTCTTAGTCATCATAGAGCTATGTTCATTTCGTTACCGTCTTGTTACCGTCATGAAAAAAGTGGGCGTCAACAAAAATATTTCATCGTCGTTAACGAAAACAACACTGTCGGACAGATGTGGGTTCTCAAACATCTTTTTAATGCCAAGTTTCCACTGAACACAATGAGAGACTTCTTCTAACCTTTGAGAAACCTGTCTGCCGGCCTGCTGCAGCTCATCATCTGGGACGACATCAGACAGCTGAGCCAGATGAAGCAGCTCCTCGACGTCTGGAGACGGATTCTTCTTCAGGAACGAGGACAGCCTCCGTCTCCACGCAGGGACGGTCGACGGAGGCTTTCTGTGAAGCCCTGAAAGCAGCTCTTGAAGAAAGTTCTCACAGAGAACCAGATGGTACCAGCTGCTGACCTAAGTTAGAGGTCAATGAGTTTATCATTTTAACTTTGCAAATTACTGATGCAATTTTAAAAAAATCTATTCGGTAAAAATAAAAATAAAGCATACTGTACATATTTACATATCGTTGCCCAAGACATATTTGGTCACAAATGAATTAAGTAAACACTCCTGATCAAAATCTTAAGACCAGTCAAAAAAGTGCAAGAATTTGCATTTTGCATTATTGGATCTTAAGAAGGTTCTAAGTAGAGCTTCACAATGTTAAAAGAAGAAATCAGTGCAAGAGACAAGAACTTTTGAGCAGGAATTTTCTGAAAACTGCATTTACACTCAAACATGATTTCTTTCAGCTGATCAAAAGTTTAAGACCATAGTCTTTAAAAGACACGGGACGATCCTCTACCCAAATTAAGGCCATTACTGGTGCTGACTGCAGCCCAATAACCATCAGACCATCTG